TAATTTATGTAAGTGTATAAGGCTGTTTACCGTAGTCAGTATGGAGCGCAGCTCCTCGGGTCCCAAAGTCTCATAACTGATGCCAGAGCTGTAGTTATACTGCATGAGTGAATGAGAGAGAGAGAGTGAAACAACATCGCTGTAACACTACAGTAATAAATGCAACAATGAAAGCAAGAACCAATGTTCTAAATATTAAAATAATTAATCACCTCACCTTGTACAGGTCTGGATTTACATTACTGCTGAGCTCTCCTGCAGTGCAACAAGACAGAAAAAGACTCACAACACGTTCAAGTGAAGCCTGCTGTCTGCCATGCAGTGCACTACCTTTAAACAACTCCTGAAAGCTAGATTCAGTCAGAAGAAAACCCACCATTCTTGTGCTTCAGGGATTTGGATCTCCTGGGAGAGTTTGGATTCTAAAACACACAGATTTATTTCAAATATTATTTTCAATTTATTATAATGTAGAACATTTGGCTTGCATTTTCAACATGTTAATATCTGATAAAGTTTTATACCTTTTCTGACTTTCTTTTCTTGGCTGTGAAAATAAGAGGTTAATAAACTGTTATCATTAATTATTCAAATTAGGCCTTCATAAGATTAACAAAAAATGGTGCAACATTTGGAGACAAATAGTGGTGAACAGACAGACTGGATGAGCTCACCTTTCTTTTCTGAACCATAGGACCAGTCATTGTCATTGACATCATCATTGTCTTCCTGATCGCTTTCTGACTTGCTTGTGTTGTTGCTGCTGGCTATTCTATAGAAACAGCAGAACAATCAATGCTTTGGAGTGCCACTCAAATTTTCCCTCAGGGATCAATAAAATCTCTCCATCTGGCAGAGAGTCTACGTGTTATCTTTGGAAAATAATCATTAGAAATGTGTCACCCCTAATTTTTCACATTTTCCCACCAGTACATGGCAATAGAATAAAAACACTGAAGTAAAACAAAAAAGTATACAGACATTAGGATGAATTAAGAATTTCAGTCAACTATTGCTTTAAAGGAACACTCCACTATTTTTGAAAATAGGCTCATTTTCCAACTCCCCTAGAGTTAAACAGTTGAGTTTTACCGTTTTCGAATCCATTCAGCCGATCTCCGGGTATGGCGGTAGCACTTTTAGCTTAGCTTAGCATAGATCATTGAATCTGATTAGACCGTTAGCATCTCGCTCAAAAATGACCAAAGAGTTTCGATATTTTTCCTATTTAAAACTGCGTAAAATGATATTACGCAGCGCCTGAAAATAGGCTTATTGGAAGATACCTAGCTGGGGACTATTTTCAGGCACTGCGTAATATCATTGCGCCTGCTGCACCCATGGTACAGCAGCAAAGTTCCTTGATTATTACGCCGGAATGAGA